TATATATATAGTATATGCAATACTTGACACTCATCTTTCATGTGGCTGAAGTGAGGAAGGTTAGCCGTCTCTCTCATGGCGAGTTGGGCTATACAACCTTCTGGCTTGTCTCCAATATTTACCCGTGTAATTGAAAACTCTTCCAGCTCCTGATCCTCCGAATCACGCCACAAGAAGCGGTGCAGATGGACCTCTCGCTCCTCTAGGCATACAGAATTATACATTTTCCTGATSTCTCCCAGAGCAGCAAAAGTGCCCTGACGGAACTTGAGGAGGACAGCTCGGATGGAATTGAGAACATCAGGACCTTTCAAAAGCAGATCATTTAGACTTTGACCTTTATACTTTTGACTGCTGTTCCAGACGAGTCTCACAGGAGTTGTAACAGAGTGCGGGTTAGGAGCGATGAGATGGCTTATGTACCAGACAGGTCATTTCCAGGTACTTAAATCCTCTTCAGCCAGCTTTTTTGCAGCCTGACGGTCAACCATTTCATGAACCTGATCACTGTAAGCCTTTTTCCACTGTGGTTCCTTGGCCAGTAGTCTCTCAGTTCTGAGAAAGGTCGCCTCCTCTGCTCTTTTGTTATTTGGCAATGTAGAGGGGTCCTCAAGCCATGGATAGCTTGCATGCCAATGGGGACTGTCACTGTGGTCATCAGCACCAGCATATGTCASTCCACTCTTCACCACTTCTAATTCCCTTTCTTCTGCCAAGGTCATTTCTTTACCGCCAGGCTGGCAGTTGCCACAGCGGCAGCCTCCACATTTTGGGGTGCAAGCAGCACCAATGCTGTCCCACTTCCACCATTCAAGAAAATCACGAGTGGTCACAGCAGAGCTGAAATGCTTGATGGTAGATGGGGAGCATACATGCTCTTTATACATCTCTGCAATGGTTCTCATTGATCTGGCGAAGTGGGTCCTAGATTGGTGTGCTGTGAATGTAGCATCTTCAAACAGTCCAGGGTGTGTTCTTGCTACTGTCTTTCCCAATGGTCCATCCCATAATACAAAATCTCCAACAGCACATATCTTCTGTGGAACCAGTCGACCTTCTTTATGACTTATTAACAGCTGTATCTTTTTGGTCTCACAAGTTCACTGAGGGAGACTTCTGGGAAGAACCTTTGAAGTGCTTCCTCAGTTACATGTTGATGGATGTCTGCAATGCTGTCCAAACCATAGCAGAGGAGTTGGTGGGACCTGAAGTTTCCCTTTTCTGTCTTGACCCGGATCTTTAGGAGGTACCGTCTTGTGGTAACTTGAACTTTCATTCCTCCCACACCGTGGACAACCAGGGTTATGGCTTCACTCCTCAGGTTTAATTGATCAGCCGCATCATGTGTTATATAGTTGGTATCTGATGCTAGATCAGTTAGAGTCCCAATCTTTTGTCCTGCATTGGCTGTGACCTCTAATAGCATTATGATGACATGCCACTCCACCAAACTATTCTCTGCCAGAAGDTTGGGCTGTCTGGACACAGATGTTCTAGCCACTGCATTACAGAAGACATGACGACACGTTTCTGCCTGTTCAGGAGGGAGGCCTTTAATGAAATCTTCTTCGGCTTGGGTGTAGCGGCCTGCCACATCCTCTCCCACTGCAGTGTTTTTGGGCCTCTGGATTGAATGCTCTCTGGACACATCAGCTCTTGGACAGAGATAATAATGGTGTCCTGCAGTGTGTTGCTCCTTGCAGTCTGGCCTTCTGCACAGAAATTCAGTTTTACAGTTCTCATACTCGTTGTGAATCTCCAGACATTTTTTGCAGGCTCCCAGTTTTTTAACAGCTTCCTTCTTTTCTGACAACTTGAGCATACGAAACTTTTTACAGAAATACAGCCTTTTCTTATGCTTCCCATCTCCACAAACCACACATCCTTGAGATATGTCTGTTGGCTGAATAGAAGTTCTGGTCCGGGCTTGACGTGGTTCAGACCTTGGTTTTGACTCCTCGTCCTTCAATTGATCCAGCTTTTCATAAATTGCTTCTTGACCTTGAAGAAATTTCAGGACGTAGTCAAATTGTTTGCCTTCTTCAGCCTCAGTCCCTTTGCTTGCTATATGGAGAAGCCATTCTTTCTTTAGGCTGTCTGGAAGTTTGCTTTCTATTGCTCTTTTTATAAGAGGGTTCTTCATAGCACCAGTTGCACCAAGTTCTCAGAGCTTTTTCTACAGTTTGAATTAGCTCAACAATCTTCTTGGGCTGGTTCCCTTTAACTGGTGGAACCTTTTGAAGCTCCTCCACTATTTCAAGRGCAATAGCTGTTTTATTTCCAAAGCGATTCTCTAGAACCCGGAATATCTCATCAGCTGTTGAATAAGTTGTGAGACGATGGTCTCGTACTATTTTCTCATCCACACTGTCGAGAAGATGATATTTTTTAATCTCTTTAGACCCTGTAGGTTCTCCCTGCATCTGGAGTGCTTCCCAATCTTTTTTCCACTGATGAAACTCTCTGCGAACTCCAGTGAACTTTGGCAGAGCAGCAGGCTTTAATTTAATGGCTGGTGCCACAGGAAAACTCATAGAAGTACTTAACCTTTCGGTCACATCTTTGGTTTGTTTTTCAATAAATTCAGCTTTTCTTAGTGTTAATTTTGGCAATATGGTCTCAAGAGCTCTGACCCGACTCTGAAACTCATGTTGCTCTGCATGAGGAGCCCAGCACCTCCAGTGTTTATGCACTGCCTTTGCTGTCTTTACTAGACTTTGCAGATGTTCTATCATGAACCCATATGCATCTGCATTTTTACTTGGGTTCACAGTGTCCACATGATCTGCATGTGACTCTGCAGTTGTAATGGCTTGTGTCACTTCATATTCCCCAAAATTTTCCCACAATGTCTTTTGTATTAGGTTTTTAAATTAGGGGGTAAAAAAATTCCTGTAAACTTTTCTTCTGACTGATAAAATGTTCATGTCAAAATATTCGTTTTGCTCAAGGTAAATCGAAATAAGGTAGTAGTGTTTCGATATATTTTGGCTCCTTGTGCAGAATAGTTTAACACCTGATAAAGTCATAAGATGTGTAGATGTGCATCAGTTGGGTTCTTGGCAAAACCCTTCATTTTGTTAAACATTGTCAATCCTGCCTTTATAGGACATCTTATTACACCTTTAATTAAATTTGAAAATCAGACCAATATTTTGCACATCTGTTTTTAAATCCATCTAACTCAGACCTTTCTTTTTCTAGCCTTTCAGACTCTTGGAAAGCGGAGCCTGACAAAGGGGGTCCTGATGTGCGGGAGACGTGCGGAGTCGCTGCCTCAGACGTTCCCAAACAGAATGAGCAGCAAAGGTCTCAGAACAAAACGAGCCCTCAGACCCAGCAGTCCTGTGCGAATAAAAAGAGGGAGAGCGCTCGTATGTTGGAGCAGGAGCGTCGCAGGAGAGAGGCTGTGAGTACTGCCACCTGTTGTTTATTCAGCTCCCATTTATATTACAGCTTTACTGTTTCTGTCCTTTTTTGCACAGATGACTGGTGTTGATCTGATGAGGCACTGGGAAGTCATGACTGCATTCGAACTCGAAATGGACAATGAACTGATTCCTTTTTCTCCATTTCAAAACATGAACAGTGCCTTTCATCAGCAATACACATTTGTGTCGTATGGAGACAAAAATGGAGAATTGTGAGGCATGAAAATGCTAAAATACAACGATTTATTTTGGAATTGAAGATTGTCACTAATGCACTTGAAACTTTGATTAGTAAAAGCACTGCTATCACACATTTCCTGTTTATTTTTAAGTTGGTCCCCAGTTTATCTTGTTTTTTTGTCTAATGCTTTAAGTTTGTTTAACTTAAGTGAATTTCTGCTGTTTCTATTATTGTGGGGTCATGACGTTATCTCTACGTGTGCTGCTGCTGCACATTGTTGCTCAGATGACTCTGGTTGTTCAAAAGTTGATTTGTGCTTTAGTTGTACATTCTGGATTTTTTTATGTTAATAAAAATATTTTCACTAAAATGATCTGAGTCACTGATTACATCACGCTATACTACGTGAAGTATTTAAAATATTTGTGGGTCAGTAAGCGCACATTTGTGTATTTTCTGATCTCCATTTTTTTTCTTCTCTTGCCATGCCACAGGACATCCTGCTTACATTGGGCTCCTTAAAAACAACTAAAGAAAACCCTATTTAGCGTTTACATTTAGTCATTAAAACGTTCAAAGTATCTTACCAGGATTTTATTTGATAAACCAACACAAAATAGCACATAACTGTGAAACGGAAAAGGGGGAGAAAATACAAATTAAAAAAACTAAAATCAAAATCTGTTCCAAGTGTGGGGTACATTTGTTTAGCCCCCCTGGGTTAACTCTTTATAGAACCTCTCTCTGCAAACCAGCTGCAGATGTTTTGACTGTTTTCTACCAACTTTACCCAACTAAAGACGATAGATGTCAAACTCTGGCCCTTGAGGGCCACCGTCCTGCATGTTTCCCTCGTTTCTCTGCTCCAACACACCAGATTCAGTGATTGAATCACCTCTTCAAGTTCTGTAGAAGTCTGGTAATCACCTATTCATTCAAATCAGGTGTTGGAGAAAAACAATTCATGCAGGGCTGTGGCCCTCCAGGACCAGGACTGCCCACCCCTGGTTTACGTCTTGGTCAGTCTATGGTTGTGTCGTACTTTCTTAAAGATGATAGCTTTAAACACCTCAGAGCTCTGTTCAAGCCCAGAATATTTTTATAATCAAACCCTGCTTTAAAAGTCTCAGCTTTATCCTTCACGTGTCTGGTGTGTTCTTTGGACTTCATGATGCTGGTTGGTCAGTGATGTTCTGGAACAAACCTCTGAGGCCTTCACAGAACATCTGGGATTAAATTACACTCAGGTGGACTTAATTTGCAATTATTTGATCTGAAGTGAGAAGACTCAGGATTTTAGTTTGAGGCAGAGGTCTTCAGCTCTTGTTCCTCATGACCCACTGTCCTGTAGGTTTGATCTGTTTCTCTGCTTCAACACACCTGATTCCAACAATTAAATGACCTCAGAATGTCATCAAGTTGATCAGAAGCCTGTCAATCACCCATTCAAAGCAGGGAGACATGTAAAACATGCAGGACAGTGGGTCACGAGGGTCCGGGTTGAAGACCTCTGGTTTGAGGGGTGAAGTGTGGTGAATAAAAGTGCACACCACGCGTTTCAGATCTTTATTTGGAACGTTTTTGCAAGTGGTTTCATTTTACTATAACACATAAAACCCCAAGTAAAATACTTAGAAGTTTGTTTGAAACATGACACAATGTGGAGGGGTGTGAGTTCCTCCTAAAGGCTCGGTGTGTGTTTGTGCTCCTCGCACCTGTTTAACAGTTTTTCTGTTGCTCAAACACTAAACTGTCATCTGAACCCATTTATTAAAATTGCCACCCTTTTGACAGAACTCTAAGCACGTTTCTACGGAGCCCACGGGGGGATTTTTTTCCCTTTTGTGTTCCCACGCAATACCTTTTGTGTTCCCACGCGATACCTTTGCGTTACCTCGCGATACCTTTGCGTTACCAAGCAAAAGACTGTTTTGTATATAAACTGAATTAAATCAGACTTTTATTATGAAATATCCAGTTACCAAAACAGGATGTGTCCCACAAGTTCGTGAAACTGACATTGATGTTGTGTGGCTGTACTGTTAAAATATCGGCATATGACATACTTCCATGCGTGGCTGTGTGATATATTCATTCTGAAGCTGAATTAAAGCAGTAGGCTAACTCGCTAATGGTAAACGTGAGTTTGCTAATAAACCGGCAGGCACAACAGTGATAAACTACTTTTGCGAGGGAACGCAAAAGAAAAAAATCTCTCGTGTCCCCTCGTGGGCTCCGTACGTTTCACCCAGTTAAGACACAACTTAGACCTATTTTCACCCACTAAAACACATTTTGCACAGTGAGTCACTTGGGTTCCACAATGATAAGCACAGGTAGCAAAAGTGAGACACAAAACACTGCTGTCTCAATTTAAACACTAATCTAAATTGATCACAATGTCTGATGATGTGAACAAACCAATATAAACTAGCTTCACTCCGGATAGAAACAGTCACCGAAGCAAACCCTCTAAATGTTTACTGTAAAATACTGTATGCTCTTTTATTTTAATGGATTCTATATATGGATTAAAAATATCAACTACATGGACTGGAGGTCCCACAGTCAAAGTGAGAGTTCCCACGTGGGACTTGTAGATCCAGACTGACAAACAGCCGATGGCTAACCAGACATAGTGGTCGACAGAAGAGAAGGTGGTGACAGATGCAGAGATCACAAGTGACTGAAACATCAAGACAAAAAACAAGAAGCTGGAGAAATGCAAAGAACTAAAAGATGAAACACAGAAGTTATGGAGAGTCAAAGCCTCAGTGGTCACTGGAACACTTGGTGCAGTGACCTCCTAAACTAGATCCCAGGAACAACCTCAGAGAGCTCTGTCTAGAAGAGCTCAGCTGTAGGATCAGCTAAGATCCTGAACAGAACCCTGAAACTCCCAGACAGAGGACCAAAATACAAGGTTTTACATAAACAGTACAAACTAAAGATTTTTTTTACTACAAGTGTTAAAAGAAGTTTTTATTTTATTTAGTTTTGTTTAGATGTATTTTGCTTTGTGGACCATAAAGATTATTTCAAAAGCATCGTGATCTGATTATTGTGTTTTGTTTCCATGCTGAGTGTACTGACTGCTCTGTATTTTTTTTTCTTTTGCATGAACTCAACGTCTGATCTGACATAACATAATGTAATAAAACCCAAGTTATTTGAAAGATTACAGACAATGAGTGAGATGTCACAGAAGACATTTCATTTTTTGCCCATGTTTCATTGTTTTCCTTGTTTAACACTAAAAAGTAAAACATTTCAGGCTTTTGCACATAAAATAATCTAAATAATCAGTCCTAAAAGTCTAATCTGAAGTTACACGTGAGCTCCTCAAGTTTCTTGATTTCTTGAAACGCATTTAAATTCTGCTCTTAATTTTACTCTATAACAAAGGCTTTTACATTTATTATCTAATGCTCCTGAATGTGAGGTGAGATGGTTTAAATTAAAGGCCTAGTATTTCTTGAGGCAAAGCACATCACCGGCTTCTTTTCATTTCAGAGAAACTAAAGGTCATCTTGGAAACCAGCCCTTTGGTCAAACATTTAAAATAACATTAAGCACAGTAATGCTAAATGTCACACTAGTTGTAAATTACTCTTAGAGCTATGAAATCTGTGAAAATGTCTGAATTATATCAGTTTTTTTTTTTGTCTGTTTTCTGAAGTTGGTTGGTTGTGGTGGCCGTCTCCTAAAAACAGTAGCTGCACATCCAATGATTACTTGCTGGGAGTTTTATTCAAATTTACTTGGATGAGATATTTACTAAGAGAGTTGATGCAACATTTAACCCTCTGAAGGTCTTTTAAACTTTATGAATATAACTGTTTACTGACAGAAAATGAAAGATCATCTACTGTATAAGACATAAAGGCTATTTCTATTCTATTGTCATCTGACATAACTGCTATTATTTTTATTCACTATAAACTAGTCAAACTTTTAAATCGATTTCAGCCTGAAGGACAAATATTAGATTTAAAGACTTTTTTTATGTTTTTAGGACCTTAAGGACCTTTTAGTTTTACAAAACTTTACAATTCATGGTTTTAGTTGACAACCTCTTCATTTTATGACTTTTTTTTTTTTTGTGATTTTTTTTTTTAGATGAGAGACCAGGCTGCTGCTGCAACATGCAGTTTACCATGGCTGCAGCCCACCACAAATTAAACAGGAGCTAAGTCTTATTTTTGTTTCAAAATAAAGTTTAGACATTTTTCTTAGTTGTGAAAGTGGTGCGCCACCTAGTGGGCTATAATAAAAGTAGAAAGTGGCAGACATCTAAACAAAACAAAACAAAAAAACAGAGAAATGCTTTATTGTAAATGAATGAGAAATAAAGGATCAAACGTGCATTAATATCAGGTTACAAAGAATAAATTCTCCCTGATGGGGGGCTAAAATGAAGTAAAGGTAATTTACATGGGGGCATTTGGATCTATTTGCTTAAAGTCAATAAATAAATAATGCAAAAGATTATCAGGACTTTTCAAGAATGTTTGTGTGTTGACATCAAAACTAAAAAAACTAACAAAATAAAATATATGTAATAAATAAAGCTACTTATAACTAAAATATCTTATGATAAAGAGGTTATTCTGAGATGAAAAAAATCTAAAGCAGTTTTATGTATTTTGCATTTTACACATTTGTTATATTACTCAGGAAGCATTAGTTGAGATATTTTGCTGACACTGCTCGGTGTGGGCGGGGCCGAGCTGAGCGCGCGGGTTGTGTTGTCATTGCTGCTTGTTGCCATGGCAGCGGCGGGAAGCCGGGCTGCTGCTCTGCGGTGATTTTCAGGCTCGCGCTCTGTCCGACTCGACACGGCGCGTGACAGGAAAACAAGCAGGAGACAAAAGAAAAGGCCACGCGAGCAGAAGATTTGTTGCCAGAATTTCAGCCTCTCTCAGCCAACAACACCGACACCGGCTGCTGTCACGCGCGAAACGCGACGTGGCGCTCGTGCCACCGTCCCATTCAGCGGCTCGTCGGGACCCTCCCTTCAGACGGTCGTGCCTCGCGAGCTGGCGGAGACGCGGTGAACGGCGGCTCGGATCAATCAAGCCGCCCGCGTGACCAGGACTGACCTCCTGCGGCGATGCGAAGATGGCGAGGATGCTCCACCACCTGGCGCTCCTCCTGGTCGGACTGGCGGTGAAGATCAGAGTCCTGGGCTACTGGTCGCTGGTCTACGGCTACTGCGCCCTGTGCGCCGCCGTGGCGCTGCTGAAACTTTGGTGGAGCGTCGTGCTGCGGCCGACCACGACCTTCCGCTGGGGGCTCCGAGAAACCCCCCCGGCTTGTCTGAACGACACGTCCTTGGGAACCCACTGTTATGTTCGCATCAAGGTGAGGACCACCGCACAGGACACCTGGGGACAGCTGTCTCGTGCCAGTGCGGGGGGGGGGGGGGGGTATTGTGTGCGTGTGTTCACGTGTTTTGCCTCCACACCTTTTCGGTGCGTCGCGTCGTGACAGGACGAACAGGGCCGCGAGCGTAGTGAGCTTTTATTTTGTAATGAATGTTTTGTTTTGTGGTGCTGAAGGGACAGCTCCTCCAGGCAGCACTGAGGTTAACCATTATGCCATTAACTGGTAAACACCCAGTTAGTCCCACCTTTCCACCCATTAGAGTTCTGAGCTCAGTTTAAAGCAAAAACAGGAACATATCTTTATAATCTGTGAAGTTTTGCTCATAATAATCACATTAAAAATGGTGTTTAGACCAAACATATATTATACGCAATTTGTTAATTGCTAAGAAAGTGGTAACTGTGAAGTGGAAAAATGTGATGCCACTAATGGAATGGAAGCAGAGATTACAAAAAGTATGTGATGGGGAAAATGACTGCATCTTTACAAACGAAAAATGATCTTTTCAATTGGAGATGGAACATAGTTAAAGTGGACCTTGAACTAATAAAGTATAGAGATGTTTGGAAAAGAGCCCCCCAAGGTAAAACAATATTATCT